TTGTCCAATTCTCGGATGTATCCCATTTAAGATTCCTCTGCAAAATTTGAAAAATGTCTTTGAGGAATAGAATCAGAAATAAGGATGTGCTAATATGTTCAAATTCTAGAAACCTTAGTCAAGCATTCACTGCGACATAGGAGGATTATAGTTGCTTAAATATTGATGTTAAGTTTCCATGATCTTGGTAAATTAGTAAATGAATAAAATTTCACATTTAATAAGAATGAATAGCATTTGACCTACAAAGTAAATTTGTATTACATTCGTCTGTGTGGAAAGTGTATTTGTTTCTATTGCTTTGGAATCCTATTAAGTCTTCAGATACAATAAAACCCACTTGGGATGCTACTTGAAGCTTAAGACTTTCTTTCTGGAATTGAGATTTCGTTCTTAATTTGAGTTTGGACATTTGAGATAGATGTTCATTTCCTTATTTCTCATGTTCGGCTTTGCCATGTCTGACCTTTACAATAAGTGACCAGTGTCAAGGATTTGGGGACTCTTTGTTTTTTTTGTTTTTTTCTTGGGGGTGGGTGGGTGATGAATTAAGTACTTGCTACTAAATGCCCAGGTACTGAAACTGTCCCAATTTAGCCTCATGAGCAGATGTACAAATAAATCCGGATTGTTTTAAACAAACTGCTTCCTGCAATAAGTGGGTTAATTAGAATATTGATTTGATCTAATTAGCTATTTCAGAAGTGGGTTTAGCTGAGAGTAAACATGTATACACAAAATCTATTCTAGAGCAGAGCTTAATATGCTTGGTGAAATAAAAAGTATTTTTTTTTTTTTTTCCCAATAAAAATCATTTTAAATTTAATTTAATAGTGTGAATATTATTCTAAGGAACACTTTATGTGGCTTATAAATTCCAAGTTTTAGTTACTAGAGTTATTTAGTTACAGGAGTCTTTTTTATTTTTATTTTTTTTTTTTAAGATGTAATTTATAGAAAATTTAATGTTTTTTTTTTTTTTCTTCATAATCCACATGTAAACTATTTGGATCATTTCTGTTAATTCATCTCAAAGTAAAAAGAATTTATATTTACTAAAATTCACACCAAATTCTCCCAGAACAAGGACTTTCTATTGCACTCCAGTTGGGTTGACCTTTGTGATTGCCACAAATGTGGATTACTCAGGTGCACTATTTCTAAGTGTGGGGGGTCTATGTTCATGCTCATCCTGATAAACAAATCAAAAACAGATTATTTTTTTTTTTTTTTTTTAAATTGTAAAAAATTCCAAGCCCCAATCTGTGCCAAAAATTAAAAAAAAAAACAAATAAACTCTTTGATTTAAAATTTATAATTTATTGGGGTGATTTAATAGTAACTTTACATTATTTGGGGTGAATTAGCAGAAAAGATCCAGTTATTTCTTACCTTTTTACTTATATTGTAAAAAATGATGTCAACATTGAAGTAATTTTTTAACGGCATTAATCTTATTAAACATCAAACTTTTCTCCTATTTTCTTGTTTATACTTACTGAAAGTATTACTGAATACTTTCTGACACTGAAGTTAACCATTAGCCAGTGAGGGTTTAAATGAAGCGTAGTTGTTCTCCTGTGTTGTAAGAGGAGCTAGGTTTCTCCACATTTTAGATGGGAGTTGTTGTTCAGCCCTGTGGATTCTAACCCAGTGTTAGCACCTTCCTCATTGCAGCAAGAGAGGTTGGGTCAGTGTAATGCTGATGCTAGTGTAACGGTGGCTGCGGAGGCTAGGTAAAAAAATTTTAATAATTTTTGTCCTTGGCCCATATGTATATTTACGGTGCTCCCCACATTAAAACGACCTTGTGTCAAATCCCTCTTTAGTGGGGGAGGTCGTGTAAATATACCTACTGAATATTGAAGTAAACAAATAACATTTTATTCACCAATTGGTAATTATTAAATAATTTCTTGGTGGTACAAAAGTTATAGTCTTGCATAAAGAGAGAAAAAGAAGTGGGGTGTAAGTCCTCTAATTCAGCTAGCTTTGTGACCAGCAAAGAGGATCATCGATAAATTTAAAGTTTTACACAATAAAATGAAGTTACCAGTAAAAACAAGGTATTATTTTTGAAAGTAATCCTTATCTCACTTCTTTTTTTATGAAATGACAGACAGAAGAGTTGGACAACCAGTTGGAGAGTTTGACAACCAAAACCTTGTAATAATAGCAACAGAGATGAGGACCTTAGTCTGACTGTAAATAATGTAAAAAAAAAAAAAAATGCCAAATTGTCACTTAAGGAACCTGTATCTTTTCTCTTTAAGGACAACATAAACACAATAACTTCTATGTATTGTGTCTATTCAGGATGTTGGTGATCATAGCTCTCCACAATTTCCTGTCTTTGTAGCTCTTAGTAAATTCTGTATTTTCACTATCTCTCCTAGTCCCTGTTTTGCCAACCATTTATATTATCTCATTAGTCAGATTATGTGCTGCTTTCTTCTTGCTCAATGGTAATGAAATGTTACTAGCTTTGTTTGGAATGATACAAGCAAGACTTTTCTGCACTGAGCTGTTAAAGCTCGATCAGCAGAGAGATCAACTGCCAGATGCTGATCATGTAAATGTCCTGTGAGTGTCAAATTTTCTAAGCTCTCTTTCCTCATTATGTGTCCTAGAAATTTCAACTCTCTCTTTCTGATGTTAACTATAGGTGAACATTTTGTTTCCATTTTCTCTAAAACTTTGTTGTTACTTACAAGTTCAGTCCATGGTATTCTCAGCATCCTTCTGTTGCTTCAAGGCTCTTCTTCATCTGTGAGATTGTCCAGCATTCACTTTCTTATAGGATGACTGATATTTCATAACAGTTCAGTACTCTTTTCTTTTGTTTTCACTATTTATATTTGGATTATTATCTTCATCTTTGTTGTCATTATCACAATGTTTTGGCTATTATGGCCCCCAACCTTCATCAGGTGTATATCAATCTGGGTAGCCTACAGTGAATTCTGAAACTGAACCCTTTATTTAATCTATGGGGGTAGACTATTTTTGTTCCACTGCCCATGTCTAGGGATATCATCTAGTTATTACTTTTAGTACTGCTCAGTTATTACTTTTAGTACTGCTCAGTTATTGCTCACCCATTTCTACTGAGTCCAAGTACATACTGCCTGGCCCAGGGATTGAACTCCTAATTACTATGTCACCAAATTCAGCAAATCAGCACTTTAATCCACTGAAGCTAGAGATTTTCTTTTTTCTCAATACTTTGCTTACACAACAGCACACTAAAATCAGACACTTGGCTTCATTTTTTAGAAGTGGCATAGCTTTGAAAGTCTGTCTTGCAGGCATAATCTGATTATATGAACTGGTCGGAATGCCTTAATTTGGTAAATTGCACATTTTCTGTGAAAGATCATAAATGTATAATCACTTGGTGGCAACTTGTTTCTTTTTGTTTTAAACGTGTCTGTCTGCATTGAATCTACAAGCAAAGCTGTTAGAATCATTAATTAATCAGTCTGTTCCGAATGCAGAAATAAATAAATTTGTCATCAGATTTTTGTTATGGTGTTAAATAGAAAATGGAGGAAAAAAATCTTCAGATTGGTGTTTGTCTCTCTCTTTCTCTCTCTCTCTCTCTCTCATTTTCATATATATATATATATATATATATATATATATGCCCATGATAACATGGCTTATGACTGCAATTCCAAAAATTTACATGATCAGCATCTGACAGCTGATCTCTCTGTTGATCAAGCTTTAACAACTCAATGCAGAAGAGTCTGGCTTGTATCATTTAAAACAAAGCTGGTAACATTTTATCACCATTGAGCAGATCCTAAATTTACTCTAGTCCCAATGAACAGTTTTACTTTCAATGACACTACTTGCCTTGAATCTCTATTGGGACTGAATCTCATTTCAAACCACAAATGGAATACGTATATTCATAATATTGCCAAAGATGATGCTGCAAGAATGGTCATTTCTTTGTAACACTGAAGAAAGTACCTAACTTCTACTGCCATGCTCTATCTTTACAAGTGTCAGATCAGTCCACTGATGGAGTATTGCTGCCTAGTCCTCCTTATCTAGCCTTGATAGTATTCAAAAGCGATTGCATGGCCTTGTGGGTGATGAATTATTTTCCACTCTGCAACCCTTTTCCCACAAATGAAATGTTGTTAGCCTCTCACAACTCTATTTTTATTTCTATGGCAAATATTCAGAAAAACTACATCTTTTATCCCACCAGTTTGTATCTTTACAGATAGCACCTTCCATATCATGTATATGGTGTGAAATTCCTCCTCCCTTTATGCTCTGATAACAATCTCATTCAATAACCCTCCACCTTGATTCAAAAGCCTTATATCATGTGAACAATAGTATATGGAAAAAATTAATAGCTGCAAATAATAAATATGTAACAGATGTGACCCATACCTAAGCAAGTTTTTTTTTAAATTTCTTGTTCATTAACAATTTGACACCAATGCCTGATAACCATACTGAACCCTCTCTCTGACTCTTCTATATGCTATGTTCCTTTAGGACATGAGTGGTTATGACTCTCCACAGCTTCCTGTCTTGCTCTTAATAAGACTTCCTGGTTTCTATTTGTGGTACTTTTATGACATCTTCGGGTTCAATCCCAGTCATGGCTACCAAATATGGTGTCTACCCTGGCCACTCTGTATTCATTTTTAATCCTTTCAGCTGATTGTAGAGTTGATTGTTTCAGCCCAAGTCTTGTCTCGTCCCACATTGTGATTGTGATTAATTGATCGCAAGACTGACTTGGTCTGAATGGTTGACTGGAATCAATGACTTGGTTTGGTCCAGTCAGAGTAAAATCACATGAAAGAAGAAAAAAATATAAGTTGGGTAAAAGTAAAAAAAAAAAAAAAAAGTATATACACTTCCTTGGTACAAAGTTGATGGTACACTTATTGATGGATTAAGCAGGCCTGTACCCTCTCGTTGCAATAACTACTGACCCTTCCCAATTATTGTGACGCACTGTTGTTATGATTTTGGAACAAGACTTCTGGAACAAGGCTTTAATTTGGAAGCTTATTCTTCAGGGCGGCAAATCACATGCTCTCTCTGCCGTCTTTGCCATCTCTGTCTCTGCATCTACTCGGTGTCCTGTTTTTATGGACTCATGTGCAAGGGCTTGGCGGGGGCATGATGTGCCAAAACAACCAATCAGGGCTCTCCCTGCAAATATCCAAATATGGGGAGCCCCCTCCCCCCCGAGAATTCTACCTAGGCCTTCTCCTTTTTGCTTTGTGCGAGTGCTTCTCACCATCACTGTCTGAGGGGTATGGAAAATCCTCCGCCTTTCCTGAAATTCCACCTGGTCCCTCTCCTCCTTGATCACCTAACCAAACCTGTCCCCCAAGGGCTAGGTGTGGTCTAGCTCAATGTCCAAATTTTAATTATCGTTCAAAATTCTTTCTCATTGTGTGTGGTTGTTTTTGCATCTGTAATTTATCATTTTTATCCCCTCATCAACCCTTTGCTCAGTAAGTGGCAAGAAGGGGACAGTCCCTTGATTTGGGAAATTTTTATTGTGTTTTCGCAGATGAAAAACTTGATTTTCATTCTCCACATGTGTCCTTTTGGGAACAGGTCTGCTTTTAAAAGTTAATCCTTATCAATTGACCCAACTTGCAGTCAGGAGTCTGTCTTCCCCTCTGTTACACAATATTATCTATTTCTTTCCAAGAGGACCTTGGACCTCCAGAATAGCCCATAACTTAATCTCAGTTCTAATTGAAACCAGATGGTCTCTTTGTTTTACCTCTCTGGTGTTTGAAAAATTTAATTACCTTCTGTGTTTTTTGTTTTTGCTTTTTTTCAATAAAAAAAACAAATATCCTTTTCTTTCATTTTCCCTTGTCTGGTCATTGGTATATCTTCAGTCTATCGGAAATCAGTGGCTTTCTATCTTCTATTTTTTTTTTTTTTTTTTCAGTTTACTAGCACCTTTCCAATATTGTCTTACTTTTTCCTCCATTAGCATAAACTGATGTTACTTTCTGATTTCCTTTGCTTCTCTTACCTTCCATGTGTTTTCTGAGTGTTAAATTCTCCAAGCCTTCTTTGTCTTATATATCTCCAAAATTTCAGTTGTCTGTTTATATTATTTTCATTAGTAGTTTCTTGGTAGGGTTGGTTTTACTTAGAACTTCCTCATTTCTCACATTCCCAGTTCATGGTATTTGCAGCATTTATTAGTAAGATATCTAAATAGATTTTATCTGAGTGGCAATATCATGGAAAAAGGCAATGAGCAACCAATTCTCATGTAATGTATGGTGCCACTTCTTGGACATTAAAACCCTAGAGTCTAAGCTTGATGCTGAGAGTTATACTTAACATCTCCTGGGGGCAACATACAACTAAATCACAACTCTATGCACCCATACCTGATATTTCTAAAATCTAACATGTATGCAATTTGCATGACACTGCTTGTGAGCAAAACAAGAGCTTGCAAGTGATCCACTGCTCTGGACACGTAGCCATGGAGCAAGACAGGTTGATCATCCAGTAAGCACCTACATTGACCAACTATGTTATGACACAGAATGCAACTCTAATGACCTTCCTACTTTGATGCAGGATCGTGATGGTTGGTGTGATAGACTCCTGAATATCCAAGCTAGTTCAACTGAATAATTTATTTTAGATGCATTTATCATGATAAACAATAAAATTGAAATTCAACATATTTCATTAAAAAATTGAAAATGAAAATAGTTGGCATTTTATATAGTAAGATCTAAATTGTGTTGACATAATTTATATAGTCATATCAATTTTGTGTAATTTGGTATGGAAAAAGATTTTTATATATCAAGAATAATTTTAAGAAAATATGATGAAGTGGAAAAAAAAAATTCTTTCTTGGCTGATCTATTATCACAATATCGGATATTTAATAAAAAGGTGATAAAAACATACACAAAAAGAAACTAAATGAAATCCATTAGCTGATGCTTACTTACCCTATAAAGAAGAATCTCAAAATACAATGGAATTACTTCCCTTATCTGGGAGATCAGCAATGTATTTCTGATTTCAATATGGTGACAAGCTGACACACATGTGGAATTCATGGTTTCAATCCAAACAAATCCTTGATTTTCTCTGGCAGTAAATGAATAAAAGTTATTTTATTTTGTGTTAAAATACGCTAGTCTTTTATTTTCATTTGTTTTTGTTCATCCCAACAACCTGGGATATAACAATACCCAAAACACATATTTAAAAAAAAAAGTTAATTTTAGCCTCCCCTCTCCTTCACGCATATGTGTTATCACATCAGTGTCAGCCTCGCCTTAGTTTGACAACGTCCTTCATCATGATTTACACAAAAAAATTTTCCACTTTGTCATAAATTTTCCTATAATATGCTAAAATATGCAAAATCTAAAAATCTTAGTGTAATGGTGGCAGATAGGTTAATAAAGTATATATTTCTGGTAATGCATATTTTTCCAGAAATGTATTGCTGATATTTAAAAACAAAATGTATTGCTAGTATTTTTAGTATAAAAATCTATTTTTATACTTTCATAGTGTTTTTTATCACAGTTTGGGAGGTTAATTATTTGCCCACAGCTAGGACCCTAACAGGTGCTACCACTCCAGGTCAGGATAGACAACAATTAAGAGGTGGTTCCATGCTCCTCAAAATCTCTCATCAGAGGCCTTGCTGTCATATCCAAGATGATAAAAATCCTGTGACACATAGTAGACCAGTACAGGAGATGGTGCTATGAAGAAGAGAGCAGGTATTGCAGGGCACAGGCAATTGACCACTTTAAAACAATTTACTTCTGCAAAATGTTTGCTAAAATCTTAGAATTTATTGAACCCTCATCTATCATTCTTGATTTTATATATATATATATATATATATATGAAATTGTATGGCAAAGTGGGAAAATTTTACTTGTGACATGTTTCATCATTTTGGACTTCATTGAACTAAATTTGTTATGTTGGTATGACTGCACATACCAACATAACAAATTTTTTTTTTTTTATTTATTATTTATATATATATATATATATATATATATATATATATATATATATATATAGCTATATATAATAGCTGAATTCATTTAGATTTTTTTTTCCATCACTTTTGTTAGTAGGTATCCAACTCTGTGATAATAGTGAAATGTATGACCCAGACCACAAATTTATTGTAGATGACCTTGTAATCAAGGCACTCCCAAGACACTTATGTCATAGTGAATTATTTTCTCCTTTGATCAGAGGAGCATTTGTTTATGTCAAAATTGTGGTCAGTTGAGTTGCAGTGGAGAAACTAACACATTTGACATATTGTTTTGTAAAATGTCCCTTTTGTGTTCATATAATTATTTATTTAAATTCCTTGACGTTTCTCCTATGTATTTTTTGTGGCAATTATTACAGGCAATGGAATAAATTCCTCCTTCAGGTTTTAGCTTATTGTTTTATATATATATATATAAAATGATTTTTTCATTTTTTTCTTATTTTTGTTTATGAAAATATATTTATTTTTTTATTTTCAGCCCCAAGAAAAAGCAAAATATGATATATTGTTTAATTCTCTGCAACCAGTTAATGGTTTGGCATCTGGAGATAAAGTTAAGCCGGTAAGACTATTTTTCTTTTCAAAAACATAAATGAGTGGTTGTCGAAGATTCCACTTTCTGAATTCTGTGAACGACATTAGCAGCTTTTATAGCCCAGTTAAAAATGATGCTTTCAATTTTTCCAGCATCTCAAAACTTTTATCTGCCATTATAACAACTGAAACACAAAGCTACCTCTGAATAATATTTATCGTGAAATGATGTATTAATTATATAGTCAAGCCTTGGATAGTATTTAGATAGTATTTAAATAATAAAATGTTATATCACCTGAAGAAGGTCATAATGTACAATGGATGAAATGTTAATATGGCACTAAAGATGAGGACAACAGAACAATGTAAATAGTATAAATAAAATGGTTTCAATAAAAATAAAACATATCAGCAATGATTTCTTTTTTTTTTTTTTGTTTTTTTTCCATGCATTCCCCAATTAGGCATTATTTTGAACCTTAGTTAACACGACTGTTACACTCTGCCAATACGTCATAAATAATGGCCTATTCTGTTTTGATCATGTCAAATGACAGAATTGGTTTCTGTGAGAAAATAGGAGGAAGGGATGATAGATGTTTAAAGTCTGTTTCAGCAAAATGGAAAAAGTTGACAATTTCAAATCTCTTCATTTTTAAGTTAAGCTCAAATAATTAATGATGTGGTAATGGGAAATTTTTACAGATATTTTATTGTCATAAAACTCACCATAAGCTTAATTAATCATTAATAAAAAGAATAAAAAAATCATGAAATTCAAATAAGAAAACTGAAATTTTCATGTTTATTTCTAGTACTATATGATACACAAGAATGGTACAATTTTTGGTCTCCAGAAATTCCAGCTGCTTTCAATTTTATTTTAACCCAATTTTTCTTTTATTTTTTTTTTTTTCAGGTGCTACTCAATTCTAAACTTCCTGTGGATATTCTAGGTCGTATTTGGGATCTCAGTGATGTAGATAAAGATGGTTTTCTTGATAAGGATGAGTTTGCTGTGGTAAGTTTGTTTTATTCATTGCAAGCCCTCAGCATCTTCATATTTGCTTAGTTTGATGTCATGTAAGAAAAATAAAAATACTTCATATTAAAATTATATAGAATTTTGTTGACACTTTGTTGCAAAAGTGGCCAATAATTGTAGAATAAAATGCTCTAGTTATGAGTATTCTCAGTATAAAACAATAGTTTCTGTTATAAAAGCCATAACTGTTTCGATGTACCAGAAAACTGGGCCTTGCAATTTAGTTATGTTTTGTGCTAACAAGATGTTTGAATTTCTAGTTTTAAAAATATTAAAATTTTCTAGTTCTGTATGGGGATGAAAATAATTTTGATCAGAATCCTTTGTAAGATCAATTTAATTTTTTTTTTTTTTTTTTTTTTTTTACCTTCATTTTTAATTGTCAAAACAAGAGGACACTTTTGTCTTCATTATTGATAAAAGGATGAAATTATTTACTGTGTACTTCAAAAAACAAATATTGGACTGAAAATAAAATAAATTTTTTTTTAATAAATTTTTTTTTAAATACTATATGTGGATACCTTTTAATCAAAAATTTTTTCCATGTTGTATTTATTCGTATTCATGACATTCCAAAAGATGTTAGAATTAAGTGAACAAAGATTATCCTAGAATTAAATCAGTGATGGCACCTACACTGGATCCATCATGAAAATTCAGTATGTGGAATTAAATACTAAACACTTCAAATACATCACTTATGGATCAGTTATAACAAATTTAGTATAGAAGAAATGGAAACTGAACATAGAATATACTGAGCTAAGGGTAGTTTCACTTATACCATAAATTGTTACAAAGCCAAAACATCAAGCGGAAAACTCATGTTCTTAAATAGTTTCATCAGATCAAAACTTTCATATGGATGTCAGGCATGGCACCAAACACATTCAGAAATATCTAAACTGTCGGCTAAGATCAATGGTTAAAACTGTCTCTGACTGTGTGAAGCCTGAGGGTCTTGGCAAAAACCATCCTTCTTTAAACATTTTGGACTGGTGCTACAGAATTATGAACAAAAAACTGTACCAAATTACAGAAACCATGTCATTTGAGGACTGTCAGCAACAACTAAAAATAAATAGCACATATCAGAGAAAATAATGGCATAATCAAAATGTTGACTTTCCATGGTACTTCAAATAGAAGGTTAGGAAGGAAACTCCCCCATCCCATCAATATTGGAAAGAGTAACAACTGGATTTGAGAAAGCTATTTACCTGAGAAAAGTTTTATCAATTTCAACCAAAAACTGTATTGGCTGATTAGTCAATGAATGCCAAATATTTCCTTGTAGGCAAACGGCTGTATTACCATAACCATTTCTGTTGCAGTTTGAACACTGCTTGTCAATTTTATTTTCTGTGCTGCCAACTGCTTGGCTATTGGCAATCCCCACTGTAAATAAAAAAAAAAAAAAAAACCTTTATTCATTTTGGCTGGAAGTAACAATTTCAACATTAAATTGAACTGTGGCAACCTTTATTCCCCTTGGCAATCATCACAACCTATTCTGTGTTTATCCTTATAGATAAATTTTCAGCTCTCCTATGATATATACATTCAATCACTTGCTAAATATACACCTACTCAAACATGTAATTCAATACCAAAGGACATCAGTTAATGGTTTTTGCTATTTTATCTATTAAGTTTTTAAATTCCCAAATTTTGCCTTGGCACACTGCTGTGAACGAGACAGACTTTCCAGTGATGTTGTGTAATCTCTAAGAATTCCCATTGGCGTATTCTTGGCTTACACTTATCGGCAAAACAAAACAGTGCTGCAGAGGATGTTGATGATATTAGAAGTGAAAAGTATTGGTTATAAGTTTTACAATAAGTTTTTTAAAATTTTTATTAAACACTTCTATTTTTGTCTCTCTTTCTTCCAGGCAATGCATCTCGTTTATCGCACATTGGAAAATGATCCTGTACCAACAGTGTTGCCTCCAAAATTGGTTCCTCCATCCAAACGTAAACGGGTGTCGATTCCTCAAGGGATCCAAGTACTGCCTGATGGAATGCCAGCCAGAACAGAGTCTCCTACAGTAAGTATTTATGACACATTGAAGATGTCTGGAGACTGGTAGACAGTATCACGTATTATTACAAGATATTTACTAAGATTTATTGACAGGATTTCTAAGTCGTTTGAAATGAGCTGAAGTTTTGTTTTTGTTTTTTTTTGTTTTTTTTGTTTTTTTTTGTTTTTTTTAAATTGTGAATCACAGCTTTTGCTGAATTTTACTTGGGGATTATGTGCTGTGACAAAAACCTAAAGATGACTATGAAGTTATCTATTTGCAATGTGTTAATCAAAACCCCAAAGATGGGAATATTATTCTGAAAAAGTTATGCAATATTAGATCAACTTATTCTAATTGGTCACCTAACAGCAATTTTTAATTGCATTTTACTGTGTTTGTTGGTGATATTGTTAACAATATTTGTTAATATACAAGGTTCCCATTCATATAGCTTCCCACCCTCATTTTAAAGGGGGAATATTACAAAAAATAATTGTTGGTAGGTACATCGAATGTTACTGGAAAATTCATTATAAATTTATGAAAATCTTATGGCGGATATTTCATGCCATCACTTTCTAACCTTGATAGAGTTCAAAATCAATTATGTAGTTTTGTGGGGATGACTTATTTTTCCATTCTGCAACCTCTTTCCCCACAGACATAATGTTGTAAGCTTATCATGACTCTGTCACTATTTGAATGGCAAATGTTCAGATGAGCCAACTCTTAAGTTTCACCACTTCAGACCTTTACAGGTATGACTCATTGTACTATGTACATAGTTCCAATTCCCTATATATATATATATATATATAATGCAAGTCAAAAGCCAAGCCCCAGTAATAAGACAAAAATTTCACAAAGCAGGAGTAGTATTCACAGACAAAAGGGATACAGTCAAGTGATTATAGTGTTTTGACTTTAAAGCAAAAAGAAAAAAAAAATGTGGTGATAAGATTGAGAACTGTACATTTTATTGGTTAGGATTTGTCTGTAAATTTGGGTAGGGGAGGTTTCTCACATCCATTCCGAGTCAGTTGTAACCAAAATATAAAAAGTTAATATAAACTATGAATGATTCAATTGAATGAGTCGGCTTACATTTAGAAATTTGTGTATTCATTATTCATACCAGTTTTTCTTTCATTATCCAGCTTTATCAGATTTTCCGTATGTGTATTTATATAATAGTTGCTATAGAGATTGTTATTTGTTCTGCCTTTGATGTAGACTTCTCATGCTGAATTTCCTTACTGTTATTATTTTTATTATCTAAAGACAGTTTTTAAAAAAAAAAAAAAATTGAAAATTAGTTTAAAAAGATCTGAAAACTGGTTCTACAGGATGGTTCAAAAGTCTTGTCACCCCCTACATAATTTTTCCATTTCAATGCTCTGTGGGGTATTATCAAGGAGAGAGTTTCACATGGATGATACCAAAATACACATCAGTTGAAAGATGCTGTTCAGAGAGCCTTTGCAATAATCAACAAGGCACAGCTTCGTAAAATATCACACAGGACATGGCACTGCATCATTTTGTGCCACGAAAAGGATGGATGTTCATACAGACCTTCTCGATGTGCGACAGCATCAATGAAAGTGAATAAACTAAATGCAGTAAATGTGCTTTGTATTACTTGTTCTTCTATTGTTCTCATTACTTTTTTTTTTTTTTTTTTTTTTTTTTTGCTAGGGAGTGACAAGACTTTTAGACCACCCGTTACATCGTTTCTGTATTTATTCATATTATAGTAGAGTGTGGTCTGAAATTCTTGTCACTCCCTGAAAATGATGTTCATACAGACCCTCTCACTGTGTGTCAGTGTCAATGAAAGTGAATAAACTGATTCCAGTACATGTGCTTTGTATTACTGTCTTAATTGTTCTTCTATTGTTCTCATTACTTTTTTGCTAGGGAGTGACAAGACTTTTAGACCACCCTTTACATCGTTTCTGTATTTATTCATATTACTATTAACTGTGTACTTAGGCATTTTTTTTTTTTTTTTGGTGGTTCTCAAATATTTCTTAAAAGTATTTTTTTTATTAATTTACATTTAAATAAATGTCCTCATCTTTGTTGTTATTATCAAGTTTCAGTTCTTGTGCCCTACAGTTTTCTTCAGGTACTTGTCAGTTTAGATAATTTTTTCCAAGGAATTTCAAATTGAACTCTTTATTTAATCTATGGGGATAGATTTCTCTCATTCCACATTCCACGCTCTAGGGAGATCTCATCTTGTTTTTATTTAATCCTTGAATTTCAGTTATTGTTTGCACTTTCTTTCTGCTGAGTCTAACTTGTTTTATTTAAATAAAGGGTTGAATTTTAAATTGAACTCTTTATTTAATCTATGAGGGATAGATTTCTCTCATTCCACATTCCACGCCTAGGGAGATCTCATCTTGTTTTTATTTAATCCTGCTCAGTTATTGTTTTGCACTCTTTCTGCTGAGTCTAACTTGTATATTAAATAAAGGGTTGAATTTCAAATTGAACTCTTTATTTAATCTATGAGATAGATTTCTCTCATTCCACATTCCACGCCTAGGGAGATCTCATCTTGTTTTTATTTAATCCTGCTCAGTTATTGTTTGCACTCTTTCTGCTGAGTCTAACTTGTATATTAAATAAAATTTTAAATTGAATTTTTAAATTGAACTTTCTTTTCCATTTAATCTCATCTTGTTTTTTATTTAATCCTGATAGATTTCTCTCATTCCACATTCCACGCTCTTTATTTAATCTAGGAGATCTCATTCCACATTCTTGTTTTTGTTTTTATTTAATCCTGCTCAGTTATTGTTTGCCTCTTTCTGCTGAGTCTAACTTGTATATTAAATAAAGGGTTGAATTTTAAATTGAACTCTTTATTTAATCTATGGGATAGATTTCTCTCATTCCACATTCCACGCCTAGGGAGATCTCATCTTGTTTTTTATTTAATCCTGCTCAGTTATTGTTTGCACTCTTTCTGCTGAGTCTAACTTGTATATTAAATAAAGGGTTGAATTTTAAATTGAACTCTTTATTTAATCTATCGGGATAATTTCTCTCATTCCACATTCCACGCCTAGGAGATCTCATCTTGTTTTTTTTCCATTTAATCCTGCTCAGTTATTGTTTGCACTCTTTCTGCTGAGTCTAACTTGTATATTAAATAAAGGGTTGAATTTTAAATTGAACTCTTTATTTAATCTATGGGATAATTTCTCTCATTCCACATTCCACGCCTAGGAGATCTCATCTTGTTTTTATTTAATCCTGCTCAGTTATTGTTTGCACTCTTTCTGCTGAGTCTAACTTGTATATTAAATAAAGGGTTGAATTTTAAATTGAACTCTTTATTTAATCTATGGATAGATTTCTCTCATTCCACATTCCACGCCTAGGGAGATCTCATCTTGTTTTTTTTTAATCCTGCTCAGTTATTGTTTGCACTCTTTCTGCTGAGTCTAACTTTGTATATTAAATAAAGGGTTGAATTTTTAAATTGAACTCTTTATTTAATCTATGAGGATAGATTTCTCTCATTCCACATTCCACGCCTAGGAGATCTCATCTTGTTTTTTATTTAATCCTGCTCAGTTATTGTTTGCACTCTTTCTGCTGAGTCTAACTTGTATATTAAATAAAGGGTTGAATTTTAAATTGAACTCTTTATTTAATCTATGGGGATAGATTTCTCTCATTCCACATTCCACGCCTAGGAGATCTCATCTTGTTTTTTATTTAATCCTGCTCAGTTATTGTTTGCACTCTTTCTGCTGAGTCTAACTTGTATATTAAATAAAGGGTTGAATTTCAAATTGAACTCTTTATTTAATCTATGGGAGATAATTTCTCTCATTCCACATTCCACGAGATCTCATCTTGTTTTTTATTTAATCCTCTCATTCCACTCTTTCTGCCAACTTGTATATTAAATAAAGGGTTGAATTTTAAATTGAACTCTTTATTTAATCTATGGAATAATTTCTCTCATTCCACATTCCGAGGAGATCTCATCTTGTTTTTTATTTAATCCTGCTCAGTTATTGTTTGCACTCTTTCTGCCGAGTCTAACTTGTATATTAAATAAAGGGTTGAATTTTAAATTGAACTCTTTATTTAATCTATGAGATAATTTCTCTCATTCCACATTCCACGCCTAGGAGATCTCATCTTGTTTTTTTAATCCTGCTCAGTTATTGTTTGCACTCTTTCTGCGAGGGGTTGAATTTTAAATTGAACTCTTTATTTAATCTATGAGATTGTTTTTATTTAATCCTGCTCAGTTATTTGCACTCTTTCTGTCTAACATTTTAAATAAAGGGTTGAATTTTAAATTGAACTCTTTATTTAATCTATGCTCTCATTATTCCACGTTCTCATCTTGTTTTTTATTTAATCCTGCTCAGTTATTGTTTGCACTCTTTCTGCTGAGTCTAACTTGTATATTAAATAAAGGGTTGAATTTTAAATTGAACTCTTTATTTAATCTATAATTTCTCTCATTCCACATTCCGGGGAGATCTCATCTTGTTTTTTATTTAATCCTGCTCATTATTGTTTGCACTCTTTCTGCCGAGTCTAACAGCCTTAAATAAAGGGTTGATTTTAAATTGAACTCTTTATTTAATCTATGAGGGATATTTCTCTCAATCCACATTCCGCAGTCTCATCTTGTTTTTTATTTAATCCTTCTCAGTTATTGTTTGTCTTTCTGCTGTCTATATTTAAATAAAGGGTTGAATTTCAAATTGAACTCTTTATTTAATCTATGGGGATAGATTTCTCTCATTCCACATTCCACGCCTAGGGAGATCTCATCTTGTTTTTTATTTAATCCTGCTCAGTTATTGTTTGCACTCTTTCTGCCGAGTCTAACTTGTATATTAAATAAAGGGTTGAATTTCAAATTGAACTCTTTATTTAATCTATGGGGATAGATTTCTCTCATTCTCATTCCACATTCCACGCTGAGTCTCGAGATCTCTTTATTTATCTTGTTTTTTCATTTAATCCTGCTCAGT